CCACTGCAGTCCTCCTGCTGTGGTTTGACCCACAATGCTGTTAGGGAGGGAATCCAGGATTTTGACCAAGCAACCGTGAAGGTACAGCAATATATTTCCAGGTCAGGATGGTTAGTGACTTGAGGGGGGCGGAGCTTGGAGCTGGTGGTGTTCCCATATATCTGATGCCCTTGTCCTTCGAGATGGAAGTGGTTGTTGGTTTGGAAGGTGCTGTCTGAGCATCTTTGGTGAATTTCTGCAGTGCATTTTGTAGATAGTACACACTGCTGTTACTGAGCGTCGGTGGTGGAGGGAATGAATGCTTGTGGATGTAGTGCCAATCAAATGGGCTGCTTTGGCCTGGATGGTGTCAAGCTTCTTGAGTGTTGTTGGGCTGTACTCATCCAGGCAAGTGGGGAGTATTCCATCACACTCCTGACTTGTGCCTTGTAGATGGCGTTATAGGCTTTGAGGAATCAGGAGGTGATTTACTTGCCGCAGTATTCTGAGCTTCTGGCCTGCTCTTGTAGCCACTGTGCTAATGTGGTGAGTCCAGGTGAGTTTCTGGTCAATGGTAACCCCCAGGATGTTGATAGTGGGGGATTCAGTGATGGTAACACCATTGAATGTCAAGGGATGGTGATTAGATTGTCTCTTATTGGTGATGGCCAAAGCCTGGCATTTGGGTGGCGCGAGTGTCACTTGCCACTTGTCAGCCCAAGCCTGGATATTGTCCAGATCTTGTTACATGTGAATATGGACTGCTTCAGTGTCTGAGGAGTCACAAATGGTGCTGAACATGGTGCAATCATCAGCGAATGTCGCCGCTTCCGACCTTTATGATGGAGGGGAGGTCATTGATGAAGCAGGTGAAGATGGTGCGACCGAAGACACTACACTGAGGAACTCTTGCAGAGATGTCCTGGAGCTGAGATGATTGACCGCCAACAACCACAACCATCTTCCTATGTGTCAGGTATGACTCCAGTCACCGGAGAGTTTGCCCCCTGATACCCATTGATTCCAGTTTTGCAAGGGCTCCTTGATGCCACACTCGGTCGAATGCAGCCTTGATATCAAATCCAACTGGGCGTCACTGGGCAGGTTATTGCTGAGCAGGTGCTGCTTGATAGCTCTGTTGGTGACACCTTCCATCACTTTAATGATGATCAAGAGTAGACTGATGGGGCGGTAATTGGCCGGGTTGGGTTTGTCCTGCTTTTTGTGTATAGGTCATACTTGGCAATTTTCCACATTGTCAGGTAGATACCAGTGTTGTAACTGTACAAGAACAGCTTGGCTGGGGGACCGGTTCTGGAGCACAAGTCTTCAGTACTGTTGCCGGAATGTTATCAGAGCCTGTAGCTTTTGCAGTATCCAGTGCCTCCAACCATTTCTTGATATAACGTGGAGTGAATCGAATTGGCTGAAGACTGGTATCTGTAATGCTGGGGAGCACTGGAGTGAGCCGAGATGGATCATCCACTCAGCACTTCTGGCTGAAGATTGCTGCGAATGCTTCAGCCTTATCTTTTGCACTGATGTGCTGGGCTCTTCCATCATTGAGGATGGGGATATTTGTGAAGCCTCCTCCTCCAGTGAGTTGTTTAATTGTTCGCCACCATTCACAACTGGCTGTGGCAGGACTGCAGAGCTTAAATCTGATCTGTTGGTTGTGGGTTCGCTCAGCTGTGTCTATCACTTGCTGCTTACACTGTTTGGAGTGCAAGTAGTTCTGTTTGGCTTCACCAGGTTGATACCTCATCTTAAGGTATGCCGGATGCTGCTCCTGGCATGACCTTCCGCACTTTCCATTTGAACCACGGTTGAACCCCTGGCTTGATGGTAATGGTTGAGTGGGGGATATGCCGGGCCATGAGGTTACAGATTGTGCTGGAGAACAATTCTGCTGCTGTTGATGGCACACAGCGTGTCATGGATGCCCAGTCCTGAGTTGCTAGATCTATGCGAAGTCTGTCCCATTTAGAACGGTGATAGGGTCACACAACACGACTGAGGTTGCTCTCAATGTGAAGGACGGTCTTCGTCTCCACAAGGACTGATTTTCGTGGTAATCAGACTTTTTCTTTAATTCAAATGCCACCATCTGCCGTGGTGGAATTTGAACCCAGGTCCCCACAACATCAGCTGGGTTTCTGGATTAATAGTCTAGCGATAATACCACTAGGCCATTGCCTACCCGCGAGGGTCCAGTTGTCCAGTGTACAAACAAAATAAAAAAGATTGCTAAAAGTATTCTTGCTGATGAAACATCAGCTACTGCCAAAGGAATGGATGTGTGATTCTATTTGTCAAACATGTTTACGAAGAATTCTATACAATGGATGTATTGAAGGTGGTACACTGAATGTATGTAGGCAATCATACATTGTACACTAAGAAATGTGAGTGAGGAAATGTAGTAGATTAACCTTGCTGACTTGAAATAAATGCTGGAGAGAAAGAAGGAGAAAGCATTAACTAAGTGCTTTACAAAAAGAAGTGATGTGCAGAGAAATTGTTCATGGTCGTGCAGTTGGAACAACTCACAAGGTGAAGCTTTGTACACAGTGTGGGATTTTGTTTTTTTTTATTTACAAAGGGAAAAGGGAATCTTCCTTGTATATTAATTGTTGGTGAGCTTTTAACTGGGGATTCACTTATGTCCCAACAAATATAAACTGGAAATCTGTTGTTGAATGAAGAGATGCATATGCGTCTCTGAATAAATGATTATTCAAGTGTGTAAGGTGTGGTGCCAGTGCTAACATTCATCATGTGGTTTTCTGAATTGTGAAGTGCAGGAGTGGTTCAAGGGCCTATCTTCTATTGTCTAGTTTTGGGATGGGTTTGGGGATTGTAGAGTTCTAGAACTTTTCACAAAAAAATGTCCCATACATTTTTGGCTATATTCGTCCAGAAGCTACAGTTGCTGATATCAAGATTCAGCTTGATAATTTAACTGAAGGATACAGGCTTACCAAGCCATATATAAAAGGGAATTTTTAACCAAGACCGTTTAAGAAGCAATGGTCTAGGCCATGTGTTCAACTCCATCATACAGTTAGAACCGCAAAATCGGGCTCTGAGGTATGAATACTACCAAACCAAAACGCTCTCACCTCTTCCTATGCGATTTAGTTCCAACAGGTCTGCAGACCCAATTTTTTTTTTTTCTCCCCATTGACAGATTGCATAACCTTTTTGTCATAGGGGTTTCCATTATCCATGTTTTTTGTTACCTTCCGGATGTACATGCCCCTATCCCTCACGGATAACAAGCATTTGACATAGTGAAGGGTCAAAATGCATGGAAATCTGGAAATATGCATGGTACAAAATTTAGGAGGTCAAAAATTGAGAACTTAGTTTTATGTTTCAGAAAATGTTACATTGTTCTTTTGAATTTTAGTCTGTTGAAATAATCTTAAAAAATGCCAGATTTCTGCTTTGTGTTCTTCCAGTTATTTTATCAATTTTTTTTTATCCTTCTACATGATCTGGGCATTGGAAGTAACAATGTCGCTGTCTGATTCACTCTTTAAGCTACTCTGTATTCATTCAAGTTAATTCCACATTGTTTATATTTCAGTCCAAAATTTTGAACCTATGTGTAATTGTTTGAGAGGTAACCATTTGCGGTATTGAGAATTAGTTCATCTCATTGCTTTTTGTGGGACCTTGCTGTACAAATTCTGGCTTTCATATTTGCCTATGTCTATAACTAGAGTTAAAAAGACACATTCCCAGTTCAGTACTTTGGGAATGCTGATGATTTGAAAGTTGCTGTATAAATGCAAAAGAAAGACAGGCTTGAAATACTTACACATCTGTAATAAGTTTCATAACTTCAGAACATCCCAAGGTGCTTCACAGCCAATGAATTACTTCTGACATGTAGTCTCATGTGTTCTGTGAAATACAGCAGCTAATTTACACATGACAAGCTCCCACCAACAGCAATAAGATTTTAAAATATATTCTTTATGGGATGTCGTATTTCCAAGATAAACCAAATCTTGTTGACCATCACTAACTGCCCTTGAGAACGTGGCGGTGAAACATTGCCGTTGATTTGGTGTGCCACCTTTATTGCTGTTTGGAAAGGAGTTCCAGAATTTCAATTCAGATCATCTGTTTTTGTTGTGTTGATTGAGAGAATAATACTGGCCAGGACAGCGTGTATGGGACCCTGCTCCTCTTCAAAATAGTGTCCTGGGATCTTCTACATTCACCTGAGAGGTCAGAAAAGGGTTTCAGTTCAATGTCTCATCTGAAAGGTCTTGGCTGAATACTCCCTTATACTGCACTGGAGTGTCAACCTAGATGTTTGTGCATTGTTTCGGGAGTGGGCTTGACTCACCAACTTTGTGACTTATATAAGAAGTGCTACCATTGAGGTAGAACTAATTTGTGTGGTAGTCCATGTATTAGTGTTTTTGTCGAGCAGTGGTGGAAGCCCAAATACAAGTCCCATCTGCTCCAGAGGCATGTAATAACCTTTCTGAACAGGTTGATTAAAAAATATCCAATTCCATGTTCCTATGTCTCTGAACCTCTTCAGGATTAATGGTTTCTGTGGTAGTGCGGTACCTGTAGACCCAGAGGCCCAAATTCATGTCCCACTTGCTCTAACAGTGTGTGGTAATAACTCTGAACAGACTGTTTAGAAAATTTGTACCTGAGAATAGGAGCTAAGAGATTTGTTGGAAATAATGCAGGAAAATATCTATTGGTCCTGTTTCTTGAGTAAAAATTTGTTCAAATTTCTGGGTTTTTTGTGATTTTTTTTTTTGACAAACTTACAGTGCAATTCCTTTGTTCGCAGTTTTAATGATATTAATTCAAACAAAATATCTTCAAATTGTGGATTGCTTTTGTGCATAATTATCCAACCACCAGTTCATTTTGGAAATTCAGGACAACAGCTCAAAATTGTGCATGCCAAATTTTATTCAAGAAAAAAGAATTGGATTGTTTCTTTGATAATGTTTTAGCTTTTTTTGATATTTTTCTTTAAGGTATCCAGATACAAGAAGGTGCTAAGGAGAACCAATTTGAGCATGGAGGATCAGGATCAGCAGTTGGCTCTCGGGAAACGGAAACAACAAAGCTAGAAGAAGAAGCAGCACATGATGATGAATATCAAGCAGGATATAATGGTAAGAATGAAGACTGAAGATGAAAAATTTGCATAATCTTGATTCGATAGCTTTTCAAAAGTTAAATTTAAACAAAACCCGATGTGTTGTTTGAAGGAAAGTAGCGGAATATTGAAAGCTTATCAATGAACGGTTAGAATGTTGACATTTATTTTCATTTGTTTGCTTTGTCAGTCACTTTGAAGACTAACCCAAAGTTTAATGACTTGTTCATGAACATGTGTGTATGAGTATGCGTGTGAGAGAGAAAGAGAGAACAGCACCTTTTTGGGACAGAACCAGACAATACAATTTATTAGGAAAGATCAATAAGTTGACAGATTGCGTACATCAGAACAAGGCTGAATTCAAAGCTGAGAAGGAGATATCAACTAGGGAAGCTTCCTGGATGGCTCAGTATCAATGAAAGTTTATGAATCTCCCAACTCTTACTTCTGTCAGATGAGAATCAAATCAGTTGCAACTGATGCTTTCTATAGTCAGTAGCTTTCTGGCATTCAGTATTGACAGTTAGAAATGGATACTTAGGCATGATACCGAAATTCTCCTGATGGCAATAAAGCTAAACTTGAGAAAAGAATTTTGCAACTGTGAGGGAGGGGGTAAAATAGTAATGAAAATATTTTAAAATATTGTTCAGTGTACAAAGTGACTGCATACTTCCTCTTAAAGTCTAATCTTCCGTGCCTCCTCTATTCTTCCATCAGCAAGGCTTCTGTAATTGCCTTATTTAGTACGCTTGGTTGAATTATTTGTTTGTCATTTTGAAAGTCTTTGTTTCTTAAAAGCCTAGCATGTACATCATGTATATTGTGGGATCTTGCATATCTTAAATTCTGGAGCTTTTCTCAACTACCTACACCGCTACAATTGGGTAACCAATATGTATCTTTGATCCGGACTTTGTATGAAAACCATATATGAACCAAATCCACCATTCAATAAAATGATCGGAGTATGACCTTATCGCCATGTTCCTGCCTGCATTCCATAAACCCTTGACTCCCTCAAATTTGTCTAACACAGCCATAAAAATATTCAATGACCCAGCCTCCACTGCTTTCTGGAGTAGTGAATTCCAAATTTTAATGAAGTTGAGAACAAAATCTCCTCCTCTCTATCATAAGTAGGAGCCCCCTGTGTTTTGCAACTGCACTCCCTAGTTGTGGACTTCCTGAAAATTTATTATTATAATATTGGAATGGAATCAAAATGCTTTTGATGGAGTTCAAAGAAATTAATTGTGGTGACAATTGTCTTCATTTGCAGAATTCAAGATGGTCAGGGATGCTGGACTGAACTTAGCAACGCCAGTTGAACAGGAGTCAGCTATATCACGGCAATTTGAAGGAATGGATAACCATGAAGGGATGTTAGTTGAAGAAGTGGGTGATAAAGTGGAAAGTGATAAAATGGAAGCTGAACCCACAGAAAGTGAGGGAGTGAAGGATGATGACAAAATGGAGGGCGATGCGGTGGACGACGCGCGAGTGGAGGGCGATGCGGTGGATGATTATAATGAAAAAGAATCTGATGAAGTGCTCAACAGGGAAGAATTGACAGACAACAGTGAATCTGAAGAAGATGACAGTAAAGGTAAGTCAGTTGAACAGGTAATCATTAAAATTGTGATACAGTCTTGACTATATCTGAGAATTTTTTGGAATCCATGTGACAGCTTTACAGTCTTCTAGTCTTTGTCTTCAGCTAACATCCAAAAATGAGTATTTAAGTTATTTTAATGTCTTAAGATTATTTGTTTAATCTAATAACTACTTTTTGCTTTTCTGAATATAAAAATTTCATCTGGAATCTTGCTTTGATATAAAAGTGAGACTGGCTTTCCAGCAGAGTGACAAAGGATTCAGGTTCTCTCCATTACTGACCACACCGCACTTTCTCAAGATACTGGGTAGCAAGTAAGTAACAAGTGTAATATTTCATCACTATAAGCCATCTTGACCAGGTGAAGAGAGGTGAATTGACTCCCTTTTTAACTGCCTTGATTGGTTGCAACAAAAATTTTTAATTCGTTTTGGCATGCCCCTGTATCATGCTTTGATTAAAATGTATTTCGCTGGATCAAAATGAAGGAGTCAATTTATCCTTTCTTTTATTCAAGAAAACTTTATTTTATTTCTTACTAACCTCTGAAAATAATAAAACATGACATCAAACACAGGTATCAAGTTTAAAGAAGGGAGATAAAAAATAGGCAGTTCCAAAAATTCTTAGAGTCTTTGTCATGTTAGGTTTTTGCTTGAGAGCATAGTTGTTTAATTGATGTCTTGTTTTCTCAGCAACAGCAAAACTTGGAGATATCCTTGAGTTCTCAGTGACTGTGTATTTCTCCAATTTGCTTTTTGACTACGCACTGTTTTTTGAGAGGCTGAGAGAAACAAGAGGGACGAGAGACCCATCTAGCTCTACTGGTACAAATCTAATTCTTCCTCCTCTCTGTGCACCAAAAGCATTTGCCTGAAATAACAGTTCCTTTATCTATTCTTGTGTTTGGCTTCATTGATTTTTGCCGAATTGAATAATCTACAGGTAATTTCCATCCCAGTGTGTGAAACTTTCTTTCATGTCCAAAACAAACAGGAGATCTCTCCGCCTCCACGCTTACTACTTCAACCGCGAGCCTAACCCTCCCTCTACTGACCCCTTCTCCCGCCTCCAACACACCCCCTTCTCCTGGACACTACCCCGAGGCCTCTTACCCTCCCTCGACCTCTTCATCTCCAACTGCCGTCGAGACATCAATCGCCTCAACCTCTCCACCCCTCTCACCCACTCCAACCTCTCCCCCGCAGAACGTGCAGCCCTCCGCTCCAATCCCAACCTCGCCATAAAAGCCGCGGACAAGGGAGGCGCAGTTGTAGTATGGCGCACTGACCTCTACATCGCCGAAGCCAGACGCCAACTCTCCGACACCACCTCCTACCACCCCCTTGATCATGACCCCACCCCTGAGCACCAAACCATCCACAACCTCATCACCTCAGGTGACCTCCCACCCACGGCCTCCAACCTCATCGTTCCCCAATCCCGCACTGCCCGCTTCTATCTCCTTCCCAAAATCCACAAACCTGAATGCCCTGGTCGACCCATTGTCTCCGCCTGCTCCTGCCTCACCGAACTGATCTCCAACTATCTGGACTCCATTTTCTCCCCGTTGGTCCAGGAACTCCCTACCTACGTCCGTGACACCACCCACGCCCTCCACCTCCTCCAGAACTTGCAATTCCCCGGTCCCCAACACCTCATCTTTACCATGGACGTCCAGTCCCTCGACACCTGCATTCCCCGTACAGATGGCCTAAACGCCCTCCGCTTCTTCCTGTCCTGCAGGCCCGACCAGTCCCCCTCCACTGACACACTCATCCCCTTAGCCGAACTCGTCCTCACCCTCAACAACTTCTCTTTCAATTCCTCCCACTTCCTACAGACAAAGTGGGTGGCCATGGGTACCTGCATGGGCCCAAGCTACGCCTGCCTCTTTATAGGGTACGTGGAACAATCCCTCTTCCATACCTACACTGGCCCTAAACCCCACCTCTTCCTCCGTTACATTGACTGTATCGGCGCCGCCTCGTGCTCCCACGAGGAGCTCGAACAGTTCATCCACTTCACCAACACCTTCCACCCCAACCTTAAGTTTACCTGGACCATCTCTAATACCTCTCTCCCCTTCCTGGACCTCTCTGTCTCCATATCGGGCAACCACCTAGAAACCGATATTCATTTCAAGCCCACCGACTCCCACAGCTACCTAGAATACTCCTCCTCCCACCCACCTTCCTGCAAAAATGCTATCCCCTATTCCCAATTCCTTCGCCTCCGCCGCATCTGCTCCCAGGATGAGGCATTCCACTCCCGTACATCTCAGTTGTCCTCGTTTTTCAAGGACCGTAACTTCCCCCCCTCAGTGGTCGAGAACGCCTCAACCGTGTCTCCCACATCTCCCACAACTCATCCCTCACACCCCGTCCACGCAATAAGAACCAAAAAAGAATCTCCCTCGTCCTCACATACCACCCCACCAACCTCCGGATCCAACGCATCATCCTCCGACACTTCCACCATCTGCAATCCGACCCCACCACCAAAGACATCTTTCCCTCCCCACCCTTATCTGCTTTCCGGAGGGACCACTCTCTCCGTGACTCCCTTGTCCGCTCCACACTCCCCTCCAGCCCCACCACACCCGGCACTTTTCCCTGCAACCGCAGGAAGTGCTACACCTGCCCCCATACCTCCTCCCTCACCCCCATCCCAGGCCCCAAGAAGACTTTCCACATCAAGCAGATGTTCACCTGCACATCTGCCAATGTGGTATACTGCATCCGCTGTACCCGGTGTGGCTTCCTCTACATCGGGGAAACCAAGCGGAGACTCGGGGACCGCTTTGCAGAACACCTACGCTCGGTTCGCAACAAACAACTGCACCTCCCAGTCGCGAACCATTTCAACTCCCCCTCCCATTCCTCAGACGACATGTCCATCCTGGGCCTCCTGCAGTGCCACAACGATGCCACCCGAAGGTTGCAGGAACAGCAACTCATATTCCGCTTGGGAACCCTGCAGCCCAATGGTATCAATGTGGATTTCACAAGTTTCAAAATCTCCCCTCCCCCCACCGCATCCCAAAACCAGTCCAACTCGTCCCTGCCTCCCTAACCTGTTCTTCCTCCCACCTATCCCCTCCTCCCACCTCAAGCCGCACCTCCATCTCCTACCGACCAACCTCATCCCGCCCCCTTGACCTGTCCGTCCTCCCTGGACTGACCTATCCCCTTCCTAACTCCCTACCTACACTCACCTTTACTGGCTCCATCCCCGCCTCTTCGACCTGTTTGTTTCCTCTCCACCTATCCTCTCCTCTATCCCTCTTCTATCCGCCTCCCACTCTCTCCCTATTTATTTCAAAACCCCCTTCCCCTCCCCCTTTT